TCTCATGGTCAACGAAAGGACGAAAAATCAGGCGTCATCACCGCCTCTGCGATGTGTGTGTGTGTGTACGTGCTCTTATTTTGGATTCAAATTGACTCCATAAAGTATATAACAGCTGAGCTCCTTCCTGTAGCCTCGTCAATAGTGGATTTTCCTGAATCGAAGTGAGACGCAGCAGCATTGTGCATGCCGAAGTTTAAATCCATTCAGCCACGATAACATTGACTGTCTCTCAGTAAACTGACATTCTCAGCTCAACATTTAACTCTGTGCCCAGCTGGTTAAATCAGCTCTTTATACTGATGGAAATCACGCATTTTCCTGAAGCAGACCGTTCACACAATAATAACTACCTTCCATCCAGCCTTCCATTTTCTATACCTGTTTATCCTTTTCAGGGTCACAGGGCACTTAAGCCTATCCCAGCATGCATTGGCCCAGATGCAGGGAACATAACTACTTTCTATTCTGGTTCCTTTCTTCTGTCTGCCTGTCTTATAATGGAATGTAATGTCGATATATTGCACACACATTGCTACTTATCATTTACACTACAGTAATTGTAATTGCGTATTCTAATAAAAACATAAATTTTATTTTATAATAACAGCTGCTGATTACAATTAAGAACTGATTCAGGTAAGCACAGAAAAAACATATTTTTTATAGTTTCAATTTCTCTTAAAAGGGTGAAAGATAAATTATGGGGTTCATTTTCATTTCTTATTTCTTTCTTTTACAACATAGAGGTTGGCCCCTTGGGTCAAAGGGGTTAAAGTTTATCAGTGGCTCGGTGGGACAATAAATCACATAAAGAATAAAATAGCACATAATAGAAACCAGTGATAGCGGTTTGTACTGCATGCAAGATAAGCAATTCATTTGAATTTCAGAGCTGTGGGATCATCTTGCTTAAATAGCTGCTAATCTTGAAATAATTTCATTAGTTTTAGTGTCACTTTATGAGGAAATTCAGTTTCCCAAGCTTTTACAAAATATTCAAATCCTGGTGGGGAAACATTTCAGATTCGGATAGAAAAATGGAAAACATGAAAGAAACTGAATAGTGGTGAGCTATCAAGCAGCAGCTTTAAAAAAATGTCTTTGTGGTATCATCTTTCAGAAACTGATTTCTAAAACGTTTACTGAGGAAAAGCACTAACGATAAATGAAGTCTTAAGTTTAGCTGCAGCTAAATCTCAGATCTGTCAGTGTTTTCAGTCCTTTTAGTCAGACTTAGTGTGAATTTGGAAGGCCCATATCCTCAGAGGAGATCTGATAGGAGCACTCAGTATTGATCTGACTTTTAGTGGAACCACAAACAGGCTGATGTTTCAGCTAATGTGCCTTTCACTGAGCCTAATGCTACAGGGACGTTGTTTAATGTGTGAATGTGAGTCCAGCACGATGAGCTCATAGCTTTGGTTCCTTTGTTCATTAGTAAAACATGAGCTGTAGTTTGTGTCTAAATGTTGTGTTTTAAGGTTCCTTTCACACCTTATCTGTTTAGTGCACTTAAATAACAAAATGTATACATTTATTTTGTATATAGATACAGTATATAGTCCACCACTTTTGTTCCGACTGAAATATCTAAATTATTGGATGGATTTCCATGAGATTTGATACCCAGAGGATGAACCCTCTGGTGAACCAAAAACATTTTTACAGAGCCCCCAAAGTCCTACAAGTGAAACTTTTTTATATGACCTTATTGTTATACTATTACTATAACCATCCCATATTCCTCATTCATCTGTCTTAATCATGAATTCCCATATTATGGGGTGATTGTAGTGATTTTACAGTATTTGTTGGTCTAATAGTAAAATTACAGATGTATTATTAATGAAAAATCATAATGTCAAAATTCAAAAATTCTTTATTAAGAATGGTTCTGGTTCTATACTATATTGTATTTTTAGATATTTGATGCTTT